TACTTCTAAGAAATAGAGCGAGAGAGAGAGAGAGATCCGGATGGAATATTCTTCAGACGGAAATATTCATTTACAGTTTTCAATAAATAAATGAATCTAAATGGAATGAGCAATTATTTATTGTGACGTTGTCACAATGCCGGGCTGCAGTTTTTAATCATATTTTTAATTTATTTAATTTAAAATATATGCTCTCCACTTCAAATTAGTAGTGGCTTGCCCCTGTACATCATACTTTTCCTTTAACAATAGATTCGTGCCGGTCGTCTACACCTTTCAGGAAAAAATTTTGATTTGAAATAATACTACTACTGGTTTGTATCGGAAGTTCGTATACAGTTAATCGGGCCTTCTGTCACTAAGATTTCCATATCTGGTTTCGTCTTTCATCTATCTAATTCTGTACTGCAAAGACAGATGGACGGACGACAGTGGTCTACATTTTTTTTTTTTTTTTCAAATTGCAGCCCAAAAACGGACTTAATTGTAAAACGAACTTAACTCAAAATTAAGTATTAATTTTTTCCGATGAGAGAAATTTTAAATATAGTTTGATAGTGTAATCATTGCCAGCTGTTACACAATACTAGGCTATAGTATAGCAGCTGGTGATGCCCGGTGTAATAATGACAAAAATTATCAAAAATGTTTGTTATTTTATGCTATTTAATTAAATTCATTCATCGAGCTTAACTGCAGTTAAGTTTTTAAAAATAATTTAAGTATTGTAAAGCTTTTTTAAAAACTCTTTCCGTCCTCTGGACACATAAGAGAATTTTTTTTATTAGCAATCCCATTATGGGTTCAGCCAGGCCCTCAATGAAACGGCTGGTTGAGGGGACAGGCGCGACATATCTGGACGGACTACCCCAGAAAAATTCCTGAGGATTTTCGACTCGTCCAGAGTCTCCGGAATGACAACTTAACCACTCGGCTATTTGGCAGTCTACATTGTAAGCTGTACATTCCACATTTTGTTCAATTAATTTAAAAGTGATTAAAAGGGCAAGCCGAGTACTCCTGGAAATTAAAAGGGTTGTGTAAGTTCGGCTTCCCTTGAAGTGCTGAGTTGCTTCGTGTTTGCTTCTCAATCTTTAAGTAATTTGTTATAAATTCAGCTGTCAGTGAAGAATACATATTGGTTTCATTAAAGAACTTACAGGGCAAAAAAGAAGCATATAATTTGGAACTTAGAGCATGTTATTGCACAAAATCAACATTCACAATGATTCCTGTACATATAACAATTGTTTTCCAGATATATATATATATACTGTATACATATGATTTACAAAAGTTATATATATTCCAAGTATGATGAGAAATCTGCTTTTAGATGCGTTGTCGTGCATCAGACTGTGGAAAAGAAAGCATATCAGTCAAGGGGTGCGTTCTTTTATTCCTCCGCGTAACTCCGCGCGAGCGACATCCGTTTAAAAATTCCTGCGGAACGCGTTCCTAAATTCCGGTCGGAGTGCGCGCCGTCGAACGGCAAAAACGGCCGCTTGTAGCAGTAGTTTGCGGTGGAAAGCAACATGGCGTCCTCCATAGCTCAAATAGTTTCGTTTCGGGGGTCCGTTATGTGGTTTTATGAATGAAAATTTAGAAGTTGTGAAAGCGCAAGTTAGTGCACGCGGTGATGTGTCTTTTCGACTTTTTTTCGGATGGTAGCCGGCATTCTAATTTTTTTCGTGGCTATTTTGAATGCTCTTTCAACAAATAATCCATTTTATGGTTAAATTTTACAATTGGGACTCTTCTTTTGCCTTTAAAAGCACATATTTTACAATTATAGATTCCTCCGTCACGATACTATCGATAGTGCAGGCGCCGCCATCTTTCTTTCTTTCACTGTCGTTCCTAAATGCCTACAAACAGCAGCGCACTCCCGTAGTAGCGGAGACGCAGAGCGATCGCTATTAACGAACGCACCCATGCACGTTACTGAACGCAAAACACGTGTACTAGTTTTAACGAAGCAATGTTCGTTCAGTATAATACAGTATAGATGACATATAGGGTGCGTTTACTTCTGAGTTAGCAGTGCTAATTCTGATAACCGGATGTGACTTCATTAGCACGTGTATTCGTGCTTGCTTGTCCAATTCGAAAGTGAACACATACGCTAACAAGAAATATGGCTGGAAACCGCCATATTTCTTGTTAGCGTATGTGTTCACTTTCGAATTGGACAAGCAAGCACGAATACACGTGCTAATGAAGTCACATCCGGTTATCAGAATTAGCACTGCTAACTCAGAAGTAAACGCACCCTATATGTCATCTATACTGTATTATACTGAACGAACATTGCTTCGTTAAAACTAGTACACGTGTTTTGCGTTCAGTAACGTGCATGGGT